ATGCAAGTGGCACACACGGCGAAAAATGCCTCATTTGTTTAAGCTAAAGTTGATAAGTTTTTTTTTAGCAAATTGCAGTGAGAGAGACAAAAAATTCCGCTGCGACTATATGCTTGAGAATCAGCAAAGATGCGAAAATAAACATCTAAAAAACTCAGCTCTAGTTCCAGTAAAAAACTAGGCACTGAGAATGTCTTCCCCACCTTCCCCCTCCTCCTTCCCCCTACCACTCTCCCGTCCCCTTCCCCGGACCTTGAAAAAACCTCGAATATGACACTACTCGAAAACCTAAGTTCGCGACTTGGCCACAAGTTAGAGTCAAAAGTCGGAATCTGTTTCCTTCGTATTCAACTGCCGGGGATGGAAATAGTCAGAAGTGGTCCCAATGGTAGCACATGCCAACAGCAACGTTTCGCTTGAAAGGATAATAAATTACGGTCGTTCGAAGGCCAAATCGTAATCTTAAAACAAGTGGATGGTTTGCTTCTTCGACGAAAGTTTCATGAAAGCAAACTGATGCCCTTTTTGATCACTTAGAATATGTCTGCACCAACTTACCATTAAAATCAATGAACGGATGGGCTGCCCGGTAACAAACAATGCCGAAATTTCGATCTTTACTTGACACTACATTGTACGCATCATCAATGTGATCGCGTTCTTCTATTGGGGACGAATGCGGCAAAAACAAATTAACCAAGGGAACCGAGGAATTTTCGGCACATTCATAACAACTAACAAAAAAATACCAATCAAAAACCGACTGTGGGACCTAGCTCGGCCAAAATGAAGATTTCTTAATCTCTCCAGATAATGCAAATCACAAAAAAAACCAACGGAAAACTTTTGAAATGATTTCATCCAGCTCTGGTCGTATGGCGATCGTATAGAAATCATCATTCTCTTCCAATAAGTCATCATCACGTGAAGGGATTACGAATTTCTTTGCCGCCCCTTCATGCATTTCGATTCTGAAAACCTTCTAAAATGAAATAATCAGATTTCTTGCAATGAAAATTCGTTGCTTCGTGTCTTGATTACGAGTGGCCTAATCAAGCAAACTTGACGCGAATCCTGTTAATATCAAAACCGTAATTTATTACGGCAATTCAAACCGTAATTTATCACGAATGACGAAAAATTTACGAGCTAATTTATTATAATTTATCACGAGTTTTCAAAACATTCTGATAGTACCTTACATTTGTTTCGACATTGGTGGAAATCCCCTCACCCAAGAAATTTGCCTCAAAAATAGGATAAAATTAAATTCCTTGCTACTTTGGACACGCCAATACCAATCTGCCATTGAAGTGAAAATTGAAACCACAGACCAGCACCCACTTACTATAAAAGGCCGGCCGAAGCGTTCGAGAACTAGCCCGAATGCCAACATTAACCTCTGTTTCTCAAGACTAGTTATGATTCCCCTTCGAATGCTCCCTACAAGCAAGCTGATGGCAGGTTTGACTTCTCTGACATATGCCAGTACCAATTTATCACCGAAACGAATGGATAAATCGTTGTTGCCCCACCCGCAGACTCGAATTCCCGACCTACTACTGCAGGACACATCACCGTTTTTAGTAAAACAGTGAAAAAATTGACTTTTTTTTGTTAATGGAATACCCAAAACCTGAAAAAAGGTATCTCCTACACCCCTAAAAAACAGAGAATCGAGGAAAATCATGAACTGTTAAACCTGGAAATGTCATATCCGGGCAAGCAAACCCAAAAAAATTTGTTGAAAAGAAAAACGGACATTCATGTTTCGCTTTATTATAACAGCAAATAACAGTGTGCCGAAAATTATAATAACCATAATTAAACACTTGTAAAATCATGATATTGTACTCAAACATAGTTTTTTGAAAAACCAGAACATATTTCTACTAGAGAAAAACTATAATAATCATAATTAAACACTTGTAAAATCATGATATCGTGCACAAGCATCATGATGAAAAGGCACAACATACTTTTACAATAGGACGAGGAATATTTTTACCCTTAGAAGTGAACACTTCCTAGAAGATACCAATAGCAAATCATCCCTGATCCGACAGAACATAAAAATTACAATAAAATTCGTCATTATGGCGTTACTAATAATCGCAGAAAATGAAATTTTTGAAGTTCAACCCCAAAGAAGAGATCGATGATCATTCCCAGCCCTCGGTCTCACCGAATCCTGAGCATATCGCTATCAAAATCGTGCAAATAAAACATTTTTATATGAAACAATGTCAAAAATCTTGCCTATTTCGAAGCACATAAGTCAGGGGGATCAATTATTCACATAGTTGAGATCTGTAGACATGAAGGACAGCACATTAATTAAGCAATCTGAGCACTGGTACATTAAAATCAGTACATTTACATGCCTAAACAGTAAAGTAAAACATTGTGATCAAGCAGTGCCAGTGTTCAAAACATGCTTAACACATACCAGCAACATCTTGAAACGGTTAAAGCCCAGCCAAATGTTTCAGTCACTAAAATCGCGTTTCATCCTCTTCATAATTCCCTGTCTCTTTAAAGCTTCTTTTCAACTTCTCACGTCTTTGCGGCTTATCATCCAGTGAGATGGTACCGTTCCAAATATTTTTTCCCCACATATTTTCTTTTTCCTACTACTACTTTGATTTCTTCTGCTTTACATCTTTTTATCTTAACTAATTTATATAATTTACTAAATTACTGTGTCGCCACAACCGTCGTACTGACGAGCTGTCCAATTGTGGTAACGGTAAGAAATGTATACGACTTAATGGACCGGAACCATTTCTTACCTATAACTAATATTTCTTTATATCCCTTACTTTTTTTAATATCCTTTCCTCTTCTTCCATGTCTCCTTTTTCTCCTGATATTTCCTTCTTTAACCTTTAATAAGGCCGACATTGAGACTGCTAGCAGGCTGATTACCTAATGAAAACACCTTGAAGTTGCCCGAGAGGTGCAGCTAGAAAACAATATGAATTACAACAAGTGGTTTAAATACAACAAAGCAGTCACTGTGTAGCAAAATCACAGCCCACGGAGAAACGGCGTTCAAAAAACAAACTGATCATGAGTAAAGAAAAAAAAGGGACCACGAGAATCATGAACAAAAAATATAATCGCTTAAGGGGAATGCATGAGCAATGAATGCGCCAGATTTCGAACGAGAACGATACTTCTTCACTGCTCCACTCCGGCCAAATGCATATGCTAATTCCTCCGTGTTGTGAAAGGAAATAAGTTCGCCCGAGCGGTTTTCTAAAAATAACATTTTCAATGCTTCAAAGCTTTATATTAAATCACAATAAAAGAAATCCAAAGGAAAAAAAACCCTAAAAAACAGTATTTTTTTGGTGGAAAAACTTTGGAAGAATGTGCAAAAGCAAATGTCTTTTAAAACTTCAAAATTTGTAAAAATTTGTAAAATTGTAAAAATTTGTAAAATTTGTAAACCCCATAATCTTCACTGTGGACAAAACCTTCAGCAGATAAAACGAATGTCAGGATCACCAGGTAGTTGACCATTGTGCACCGTAACATGATCAGACAAACTTGAAAAGTTGCTAGCTGCATAGCCGGAGAACAACATGAATTATAGTTAATCGAAATATCAAACCACACCTAACATGACCTTGTTTTCCCCAAAGCTGTTGGGTTGAATCGAAGATTTTCAAATACTTGTTATAATGGGCCAATTGACTCGCGTTAGCGGCCAGTTGTTCAAAAAATCTCATTCATGAACGAATTCATTAATGACGCGTCTTTGAAGAAATGTCGATATCCGGATGAAGCCGCTTCAACAAACAGCAGATGTACGCCCGGGTAAGAATCCTTCCTTTGTCCACGATGTTTCTTGTCACTGCTGCGAGCTCCAAGCCAGTTAGCAGCTTTCTTCGCTCCCTTTGCTGATAGTTTCGATGGCACTGATGCCGTTAACGTAGAACACATATTGTATCAAAAAAATTTTACCAAAAAGTTGGTCGTTCTTAAAAATTTGTTACCACTTAGGTCACGTTCGAGTGCTTTCGTTTTCCATCGTGAGAAAAATTCGATGTTACCGAGGAAAGAATGAGACTACTCGAGATGCATCTATTACTGCTGTCGAGGGATGAACTCACGAATCACATGTCACATAAATTAGAACACCGATAGGGAAGACCGTTTCGAATATGATGAATACGTCATTGTTTAAGACAATAAAGTTAGAAATTTTGAACTACTAACCCTCATCAACAAATAAAACCAGGCCACCGGCAAGTGTACGACGCCTGTCTTTGTTCT